ACAGCTATTTCTGTTAAAACCTGCCCCCACTCCATCAATCACAGGACCCAAATCACTACTTGTTACAAAGGAAGGTTCACTTCAGTGGCACACCCCTCACAGGCCTTGGTCTTCTGAGAACTGATGGACATGTCACGACAGGACACTTCAGGAGCAGACAGCAAGGCTCAGGGCTGGCAACGGTCCCCAGCAGGAGCAGAGCCTTTCCTACTGCCCATTATGCTGGTGGGGTAGGGGCCTCCACAACCCTGATACCAAGAAATCCTTCCCAGCCCTTTGGAAACTTTCCCAGCCTGCTCTGCCCACAGGACCGGAACCTTCCTGCCTCAGCACCGGGGCCTCTTCCATGTCTGCATGAGTCACAGGACACTCAGACCCCTCCAGGGGTCACAAGGTGAAGGACACACCAGCTCCTGCATGCTGTTCCTCTGCTGCCCCCGAATTATGACCAGGGAATCACTGAGAAGCATGAGAGTCAGACTTGGTCCACCTCAAGGACCATGGCTCCACCACATGCACCCTGTCCTCGGGTCTTTTGCTTATTGAGTTCACCTGAATTTCATGCCCCTCCCCCCAGCCCTTTGCTGCTTGGGACAAAGGACCTGGCCTTCCACACAACCAATGCCCAGTCAATTATCCATGATGGGTTAATAATCCTCATCCTCTCTATCCTTGAGGAATTGCTGCCTCAGGATAAAGGATCCCAGAGAGACAGAGTGGCAGAGGATAAAATGAGTCCTGGTCAGAAAAACGGCTTCAAACTACTTATACATGGGGGGCAGCCAATGGTCCTGGGAAGGAAAGAAACTGAGGTTGACTGCTGATGTCTCCTCCACACTCAGCCACTTTCTGTGTGACTTTCTTAGGCAAGTTTCTTGACCTGCTCTGCCTCAGTCCCTCATCCGCAAAATGGGGATAGTAAGTATAAGTTATACCCCAAGGAAAAGGAGAATCTTATGAATTTATGTATGGAGAGTCAGTACATGTCATTAGAACAGTGCCTGGTCCTAGGAATGCTACAGAAATGTCATTAAATAAGTGAATAAAGTGCAGCCCTCACTGTAGTTGCCCTGGGTCTTCTCAGAGCTTCATTATTATCCAGCACCACCACCCCCAGTCCCACCACAACTTCAGCCTCCTCCTCTCAGCCAGCTGCTCCCAGCTTTCCTCTTCTTGGCCACAGATGTCTTCAGAACCCACTCACCTGCTTGAAAACGTGGCACTTCATAAGTGTCTCTAACTTAGCAGTGCAAGATCTCAGCCGACCCCAAATCTGTTTTCAGAAATTGCATCTGCAGTTCGCTGCTCAAGTCCCACACCCTGCTTCCAGATCCAGCCCTGGTGCTACAGGCTCCTCTTGTCTGAGAGGCAAGTGGTTCCCAGGAGAGCAGAGAAGCAGAGCCTGAGACAGGTTGCAGGGGCCTGTCCCGAAACAGGGACCTGGGGCACTCAGCACTCCCAGACAGAAGAATCCACCTTGTGCTGACTCCTTCCACCATTTGAAAGTGAAAGCTTACAACAAGAAATCGCAGCAGACTCTGCTCTGCTCTCTGGACGGTGCACCCTAGTTATCAGGAAGGAAACAGCATGATCAGAGCCATGAAACAGGGCAGGGACAGGTACACTGACCCACTCTGCAGGAGGACACACAAGACACAGACTCAGCAACAATTTATTGAACAACTACTACTCTTCAGGTTGCCTGACTGTTCGCTACTAAGATGATACCATGTCTGTGGGTATATCACAGGTGCAAGAGCCTTTGTGGAGCCACCAGCGTAGCTGCTTTGCTTTTCTTCAGCAGGAGACCAACCACATCATCCCACAACCTGGCAACGGACAGTTTAACACT